CAGGCACTGTGCCGCTGAGCTAAATCCCCAGCCCCTTCACCATATATTTTTATTACCCTTATATTTATGACATTTTCGTTAGAAAGGTATCGCATATTTGGGAAGTCCTGTTAATCCTTTTCATCCCTTTTCTGTTTTTGCAGCAAAATGATGTTACTGCTGTATGAAGAAGGCCTCCGGGTTGTCATCCACACCTCCAACATCATCCGGGAAGACTGGCATCAGAAAACCCAGGGGTTCGTAGGGGCCTGTTTGCTTCCTGCCAGTCACAGTTTGCACTGAGAAAAGTTGAAAGCCAGAACATTCACTTTTTTCTTCGCTTTGCTTTGCTTTGCTTTTTGTATTTTTGTTTTTGTGGGGATTTTGTTTTGTTTTATTTTGTTCTGTTTTGTGTTGTTTTTTGCAGGGCTGAGGATCAGCCCCAGGGCTAGGCAAGCTCTCTACCACTGAGCTACACCCCAGAGCCTGTCGTGTTCTTTTGCTACTACTGTATCTCCTTTGTGCTCTCTTTGAAGTAGCCAGTGTGAAGAGCTTGTTGTGTAATAAATTACAGCTATCTCTATGTGTAAACACAATTCAAAAATAATTCTGACCATGATGAGAAGCCATGGATGTGGTGCGATCAGATTTGTTTCATGTTCCTTAAGAATCTGCTTACCCTGTGGAGATACATAGCGAGACTTTACCTCTTCCTTTAGGAGTATGCATAGCCATTAGAGATGTGTCATTACAATCAGTTGTGTTCCTGAGTCTTAAAGGTTATTTTTTTCCATTCTCCAGAATATGGATGAGCCCCTTGTACCCACGAATTGACCCTGGAAACCACAGATCTGGAGAATCAAAAACACATTTTAAAGCTGACCTCATCAGTTACTTGACGGCTTATAATGCTCCTCCTCTCAAGGAATGGATAGATACCATCCAGGAGCACGATCTCTCTGAGACAAAGTACGTGTCATCTGGCCAGTCCCAGGTGCAGCACTCACAAGTCGGGAGCTCAGGGGCCTTGGAGAGGGGTGGAGTGGTACTAGGTTGTGCTTCGTGATGTGATGAGGGGAAGCCAGCAGATTCACTCAGTGCCTGCTTCCTGTGGCTCTCAGTCCTGGAAGAGGCAGCCCGTGGGTCTTTGTACCCTGAGCTTCCTGCTGGGGTACTCTAAATACAGTCAGTTCTTTGCCTGGTACCTTATGCCTTTGTGTTCCACCATAATCCGGCTTGCAGGAAAATGGTTTTGAGAGTACCAATTACAACTGAGGGAGCATGACAAGGAAACGGACCTGCTCCTAGAACAACTAGAAATTATATTAGTTCTTCTGTGTATTTCATAATTTTTTTAAGTGGCAAAGCGCATTACTATGTCCTATATATAACTTCGGTTTTATTTCTTTTTCAGTGTTTACCTTATTGGCTCAACCCCAGGACGTTTTCAAGGAAGTCAGAAAGATAACTGGGGACATTTTAGGCTTAGAAAGGTAAAAGAACGCTTACTGTCAACATTTTTAAAAAATTTAATATGTATTCTTTTTCATTTATGATAGTGTATTTTGATAGTTTCACAATATTTCCAGTGTAATTCTGGGGGAATAGAAGGCACTTGATAAGTTGATGTCTAATTATGGTTTTCAGTGCTTTTTAATTTAATTTTATAGATGTAGACTTCCTAAATATGATATTACTTTTAGTAGTTCTCACATTTCCTGTAATAAAGATAATTAGAAGGCTCCCATTCATGCAAGTATTAATAGCTTTTGATTGCTTAGCATATCCAGGATTTTTTAACATGCAAATTAAACAAGAACAGGTAACAGTATTGAGGAAAGGCTGTACCCTATATATAAATATTTTTGAAGTCAATGTCCTTAAAGAAACTGATTACAAAACTGACATTTGCTGCTTATATGAAAATGAAAAAAGAAGGATGGATGTGGTGGTGCACGCATATAGTCCCAGCACTCAGAAGGCCGAGGCAGGAGGATCACTGCAAGTTCCAGGCCAGTTTAGGCTACAAAGTGAGTTCAGGGCCACCCTGAACCACATAGTGAAACTCTGTCTCAAAAGAAAAAGAAAATGACCAAAGAAAGTCTTTAACAAGATAAAACAATAAGCAAATTGAAAATGAAAGTTTTCTTAGTCTCTCTTTAGTTTACCAACCTTAATAAAATAAAATAAAATCCCTAAAGTGGCTTTCTTAAAAGTTTTACCTCTTATTCCATAGATTATATACAGATTGAGTATCACTTGATCCAAATATTTATACCAGAAAATTTGGCTTTCAGATTTTTTCAGATTTTGGAATATTTATCTGTACAGTTATTATAGACAGCTAAGTTAGATAGAAATTAACAGGCAGTCAGAGAGGGATCAGGCCCTCAAGGGACTCAGCGCAGAGGGTGAGACACACCAAAATTGTCATCAGAAGAAAATTAAAAGAGAACTGGGCCTAAAGATGGAGATGCTCTAGCCAGGCCTGCAAGCCCCTCAGGAGGTAAACAGCAGTTTGAAATTATACTGTAATTAGCACTGCCAGGTCTAGTGAGCCCTGGTAACACACAGGGTGACCGGAACACCCTGACTCATACTTGCACCTGTTCCCAGGGATGCCTTTGTTCTTCCTACATTAGAAGTTATAGACCAGCTGAAGTTAGTGATGCTTGCCATGTAACCTTGCTGTGTGGCTCACTGTCCTGTTGAATCACTATTAATGAAGTGACTGTACTTGTAATCCTATAGGCTGATTTTAGTTTGACCCATAGTTACCCAAGTTGTAATTCTGCTGTATAAAAGACCCTTAGACAAAGACCCTCAGCAGCCAGCTACTTTCAGGACCCCACCTGTCTCCCAGGAGCTTTCTCTCAATAAACCTTTCCTACTCTTGACCTCTTCTGCCTTTGAGACACAAAACTTGGCCCAGGTTGGGAGCTACTTCTGTGTGACATAACAAGACGTCCTTGGGATGGGACCCAAGTCCAAACACAAAGTTCGTTTGTTTTATGTACACCTTAAATACACAGCCTAAAAGTAACTTCATAGAGTATTTTTAGTACAGCTGTTTTCATTGTGACTCATCGTATGAAGGCAAGTGTAATTTCTCACTGCCACGTCATCTTTGTGCTCAAAAGCCTTCAGATTTTGGACTTCAGATTTTTGGATTTGGGATGATCTACCTGTACATTATGTAAAAATCTCCCTGTTAATGAAATATTTTCAGTGTTTTTTAAAATAAGGCCAGTGAGATCTCAGACAGCATTTTTGTGGCTTGACCTAGACAAGGGGTAGTTTCCCCTGGCTCTGTGCATGGTTGCAGGGGCAAATATCTATATCTGGGTTCAAATCCTGACCTGTTATATACAAGCTTTATGACCTTGACTTGTTTCTTAACCTGCCTCTTGTCATCTATGAAATGGGTATATTAATCGTAACTCTGTCTCCCAGACTTGTTACCATGGGCAGTGGGGTCCCAGACAGGTTTCTGGTTTCTTTTATGCGATGATTATGGCCTGCAATGATAAGAAAAAGCAGGAGAGTTTTAATCAAGTGACAATATACACAGAGAAGGCACTCGCCAGCAGAAAATAAAGTAAAATGGCATAAGTGCTTAAGGGCGTTGGGCTTAAGAATTTAAAACGTTGCACAAGGTCTAGGGCATCTCCCATTGGGTCTTTCAGAGCATGATTGACAATGTGATTGACAGGGCGCTGAGTAAGGTCAATTGTCTACTGCGAATTACTTCGCATAATGCACTCAGTTATAACTGGATGTATGCAACACAGCACATGTATGAGAACCTTCAATGAGCTCCAGGTTAGGAAAGATTATACTGGAGAATCAGCCATGCATGCTTCCTGGTTTGGGACTTTGGAATTTTCCAAGGCAGGCCTAGAGTTCTCTTTTTCCCTGTCTCTGCCTCTGGGTAGTAGGGCTTAGAAAAACAGTCAGCGGGTTGGCCTTGGAGCATTGCTCAGGTTCAGGTGAGTGGAGGGGAGTGGTCCTATTGTGCTAACTATGTACTACCTATAGGTAGCCCCAATTATGCTACCTATGTTAGAATTGTGTAAAAATTAAATGAAACAGTAAATATAAAATAGGGCCAGGCACAGGTAAGTATTCATAAAGGTGAATGATTGTGGGCTAGTGGTTTAGGCAGGCCAGGCAGTTGCAAATATGTGTGATCACAATCTTCCAGAAAGTTGAATAGCATCTGTGGAGATTTCAGACCACTTTTCACATACTGTAGTAGCTCATTTTGAATCACAGTTCCTTTCCTAGAAGGGCAAGCAGGTGATCTCCTTGCAGTGACGTGCCTCACAGCACAGGGCTCTGTCCAAGATCATGCAGCTGCTTGGGGTTGAGCCCCACAGTAGAAAATGGCTCTGGTAGTTATCAGTTCAGTTCTGTTTCCTACACGAGGGTATAGTAAGGTGGAAGTTGAGAATACTGGGCTTTTCAGGGTATGTGTGTAAATGTTAATACCCAAGCTGTGTTAAGGAAAATTACGCATGTTAAATAAACAAGTATCAGAATGTGAGCTCCACTGAGGCAGGAGTCGTGGCTTACCATATTTTTCTTGCCATCTCCAGCCTTTAGGTAACCACTCGATACATGTTTAAGGGGATAAAATTTCTGAATTGTTTCTGTATCTCCATGATTGATGGGTTATGCCCACTTGCCCAGCTGTTTTACTATGTCCTAATCTCCTGCCTCAGTTTATCTTAACATTTCTACTAAAATGAATCTTTTAAATAGTTTTTGATCCTTTAATTTCCTTTTAGTGCAAATCAAAAGACTTTGGAGAGAAAAATGTCTCTGTTCACTGTGTTTAAAAAATGCATAGTTTGAGTGCTTAAAAGAAAATTTTCAAAAGGAGAAAACTATGTGAATGTGAAATTCATCGCTAATATTCATGACTTAAGCTTTCCAAGAGCAGAAATCTATGTTTTTGGACATGACGGCATTTCTGGTCATCTTTTTTGAGTGACATAGCAATCATTTTTATTCTTTGTCAGCTCCTGAAGGAACATGGCACCTGTATACCTAAAGCCGAGTGCTGGCCCCTAGTGGGTCAGTTTTCAAGCATTGGCTCTTTGGGAGCTGATGAATCAAAATGGTTGTGTTCAGAGTTTAAAGAGAGCTTGCTGACACTGAGGCCAGAAAACAAAACTCCAGGGAAAAGCTCTGTCCCTCTTCATTTGGTGAGTTTTCTTCTTGTTTTGCTTTGCTTTGTTTTGTTTTGTTTTGTTGAGATTGCATCTTGCTACATAGTTCAGGCTGGCTTTGAATTTACTGTGTGGCCCAAGCTGTTTGAACTTGTGGTAATCCTCCTGCTTCAGCCTCCAGAGTGCTGGGATGACAGACATGTGCCACCAAGCCCAGCTAGTTCGCTTCCTTCTTGAGTTAATTTATTTTTATTCTCTAGTCCAGGAGAATTAAGAATCAATCCCTTTTGTCACAGAGAGTTGCTCTATTCTCTATTATTTTTTCTTTTTTTGGATGGGAAGAACAGTATGTTCTTATCATTTGTGGTAGCTTAGCCTTAATATGGTCCAATGCAGAGAGCTTACTGGTTTAATTAGCTCCATTTCAGCCACAGACTAGCTTGGCATTCTTTTTTTCAGGCTGTCAAGCCAAGGAAAAACTATTTGGTGTAACATTGCCAACAGAATTAGAAGCACTATGAATTACTTAGAGACCTGCAAATTAATGATGAATTTCACATTCAATTTGATGTTAATTTGAGATTTCAGGGGAAAAATATTCAAATCAGTGTAATATTTCATCAAATACATATATATACATCCTGTAGTTTCATTATTAGAGGTTCATTTTTTTCCATAACTTGGGAACTTTTTCAATTTTAAAGCATATTTTCTAAGTTTTTAAACTAAGCATTTTTATTTTTTCACATGGATATTTATAGCAACCTTATTTATAATTGCCAAAGACCAGAAATAATGGAGATGTCTTGCAGTAGATGAACGAGTAAATAAAATACAGTATATTCATCCAAAGGGATGTTAGTCAGTGATAAAATAAATGAGCTATCAAGCAATTAAAAGCCTTAAATCTGGGTGTGGTGGCGCACACCTGTAATCCCAGCACTCAGGAGGCTGAGGCAGGAGGAACATTGTGAGTTTGAGACCAGCCTGGGCTACAAAGTGAGTCCAAGGCCAGCCTCAACTGCAAAGCAAGACCCTGTCTTAAAAAGACAAAAAAAGCCATAGAGTAACCATAAATGCATGTTACTAAATAAAAGAAGCCAATTTGTAAAGACAACATAAAGTGTGAGTCCAACTGTATGACACTGCGAAAAAGGCAAAAATAATGGTAACCTTGAAAAGATTAGTTCATTCTTGAGATTTCCATTTTAATAAAAGCCTGCCATCATCCCTTTTTTCAACATGGTACATTACAAGTTTTATTGTTTTTCCTCTTTTCCTACTTATTTTTAGATCTACCCTTCTGTGGAAAACGTGCGGACCAGCTTAGAAGGATATCCCGGTAATTGTTGGGGAAAGTCTCAGTTGTGGTTTTTGTGTTGATTCCGTAAATTCCCTGGTAGAATTTTTACCAGTATTAAAATCTTGCTAGAAAGCATTGATTAGAAATGTAGAGGTGGCTTTTTCTTCATTGGGCAGGGAACATGAAAATAGGTAATGTTGAGCTCTGCTGTGTTCTGAAGGTGGTACCACTCTCTTAGGTGGCTAGTGTATGAGAATCTTCACGGTAACCCTGTGCACAGTTATTCTCATTTTTACCAGTAAGGTATCCAGTGGGTCAGTTGTCCAGACAAGATGTTCAAATAAAATTGCCTTCCCCTAGGACTTGGAGCCTTCCCAGAGCATCTCTAACATACCTTTAAATCCTTGAAATTTGAATATGTAATACAGTATATTGAAGTTCTGGACTTTATGCTTGATATTACCTTTGATATAACTTAGATGATGTGTACACTCTTTCAAGGGCTTCCTCTGAAAGTACCTCAGTAGTAGTAGTTTTTAAACATTGATCGGGCCTGTTCTCCATTTCCATTACCGCACCAGTAGTACTAAAATTTTATGTGGAATTCACAGCACTGTTTATAGTGTAGTCAGGAAGTATTAGGCAAAAACTCAGAGAGTATGTGCCTCTGGAAAAAGCAAAGTCTAATAGGTGTTTACTGATGGCTGACAGGATAATGCACTGAATTAAGACTAATTTAGTCCATTTATTGCTTATCAAAGTAGATGTGACCTGGCCTGGAAAAAAAAATCTCAAAATTCCGAATGTAGCAGCCTAATGGCAACACTACAATTATTTCACTGTGACTCTAGGACATGATGGATTTTCTTTTGTCATCTTGCTGTACCTCTAATAGGCTAGATCCATTCAAAGTGTACTTCTTAATGAGGAAGTGCCTGGTCTTTTCAATAAAACTGTTTTATAACTGGTTCTAAATGGAGTATGTTTTTAGTTATGTGCAGTAGGAGTCTGAACATGCCCTGTTTGATGTCAGAGTTGCTTAGAGCCCTCTTTGGATATAGATAACTATGGAGAAGTTCCAGTGTGTGTTTGGAAAGTTACTGATGAATCCACAATGTAATCTTCTTCCTTTTCAAAGGTGAACAAAAATTGACTTCTCATTGTGTCTTTATTCTCTTAAAGCTCTTAGAATTCCTATTTGTGGAACATTTTAGTTTATTTTCCAATCGTGCTCATCTGTAAGAGGCTGTTTAGCACAAAGCCTGTTTGCAAAAGAGAAGTAGAAAAGTGAAGTAAGCAGGAAAACTGAGTTTTCATCGTAGACAACCTCCCCAAGAGCACTGGTCTTGAGCAAAAACCAATTATCCTGCCTGCCAGGCGATAGTAGGACAGACTTTCTGTATCCATTTCTAACACTTGAGATCTGTAGATTTTAAATTATGACCACTGAGTGATTTTTTTAAAAATATCTTTGTTTTCAGCTAGTAAACATTTACTATCTAAATATTTCTTATCCACAAGAAAGGAAACCCCATTAAGAGAATGTACCTAGCACAAGAATAGACACTTTCTTTCAAGTCACTATCCCATAGTATGAAATAGTGGAAGTAGTTGCTTTTCATTTACCTTCTCACTGTTTATTAGAAATTTTCTTAATGAGAAAGCTTCAAATTATGTTTCATTATTTTTATTTATTCGTTTTCTTTTTCGTCTTTTAAAAGCTGGGGGCTCTCTTCCCTACAGCATCCAAACAGCTGAGAAACAGAATTGGCTACATTCCTACTTCCAGTAAGTAATTGGTTTAGAATGCCGCTATTACTTCTTTAGAAAGAAGAATGTTATTTATGTCAATCTGTTTTTTAAAGAACCTTATATAATATAGCTATATCCTTTCATCTACATATGTTAGTGATAGAAATACTTTAAAACGAGGTTTGGAAATTTTTTTGGAATAGGTTTTTAATACCAAAGAGTAAAATTTATCTCCATAAGGTTTCTATTTAAATATTGGCGTGCAGAGAAAAAGATAAATAAAAGATCATGCAGGATGGTTTCTAATTTTCATAAGTACCATCTTAGTTCACTTTTCTAAAATACAGAATATTACTATTCTGTCTGTGTGATGATACGATGTGTGGCTGCAAGCCTGCTGAGGACAGGGCCCATGTTACTGTCCCCGGGATGCAGGACGGCGTTTGGTAGGTCCTCACACTTCAGTAAGCAGTAGTGAAGGGAAAAGGTGAAGAAATAGACCAGTCTGGTCCCATCCCTGCTTCAGCGGGTACCTCTTGTGCTGGGTAACCAGAAACAAAGGCAGGGCTGCATTTCAAGAGCTCCCAGCTGCACTTCAGTGTGTCATGTTGGAGCCTGTCCCTGGTACTTTCTGGGGACACCATTTCTTTACGTTGAGCTCCTTACAGTATCCCATGACTAAATTCGCTTGAAAGAAGTAAGTGGTGGACCTACCTGATCCTGATTCCGTTGTTCCAAACCAGCGGTTACTTTGAGGGAGGATTCTCTTCAAGTCATAAGTAAAGAGCCAGGACACAGCTCAGTGATAGAGCACTTGACTAGCCTACATGAGGCCCTGGGTTCAGTCCTTAGTATGGCAATCAATCAATGAATGTATAAATGAAAAATTTGCATTAGTATGTGTTTACAGTACGTGATGATTACATTCCTCGTGGGGAGTTGGTGCATGCACACAGCACATCTTAATTCTTTTTTACATCTCCATGCCACTCCTTTGGTCCCCTGGTCCCCTTCCCACTCGCAAATGATCTGTCTCCCTGAATAAAAAAAGCATAATCAGGAATCATTGCTTCATCCCCTTTTATACCCACAGAACCTTAATTTTATATTGTTGGAAACTTACAAACAGAACTCAACGCTAAAACTAAAGCACTCTTCTATTATCCCTTTGCTTTTCAACACTCATTTGTGATTTTTTTCCCTTTGTATTTATTTCATTCAACAAGCTTTTACAGAACCTGTGCTAATTAGGGCACTGTGGGGCCGTGACTTGTACCTTCAGGAGCCCACAGACCAGCCACAGGCACGTGTACACATGAGGATAAAAACGTGACGAGATATACATAGGTGTATGTGTTTATGGGGGGAGAGACCAGAGGGTTCAGTACTATTTGTAAGCAGTGACAAATTTTCTATATACCTACCTTCTAAAATGAGCATGTATTATCCCATTATCTAGACAGAGTTTAATAAATTATCAGAGGTCACAAGAGCCATGTGCCTACTATTTTTTGTAGGTTTGCCTTTAATTTTTTTTTTCTTTTAGTACTGGGAATCGAACACAGGGCCTTCCCACTGAGCCTAGTCTTTATTATTTTGAGATAGTCTCGTTAAGTTGCTGACTTGCCTAGGCTGGGCTTTAACCTTGAATCCTCCTGCCTGAAACTCCCACCATGCTAGGGTTGCAAGCATTCACCACCGTGCCTAGCCATGCTCCTTTTTACATTATAAGATTTTGCTTTTCATGCAATTCCCTGACTATTGGGATTGTGACTAATTTGTATGATTTTCTAACCAGTGACTTCTGTCCCTCCTGTCACTAGCAAGTGGTCGGCCGAGACATCTGGCCGCAGCAACGCCATGCCACACATCAAGACTTACATGAGGCCCTCTCCAGACTTCAGCAGACTTGCCTGGTTCCTTGTCACAAGGTAAACGGCTTCTATACTCTGGACAGGAGAAATTTTTAAAATGTGTTGTAAACCCCCAACCCTGCTCTAAATTTTGAATGGATTTCTAAAAAGTAGTTCGTGACTTGACTCTAAAACAGCCTTCCTGCTTCCAGCCCTAAAATGCTCTGGGCACACTTTCTGAGTAGTAAACTATCATACACCCCCTGACTCTGTTGTTTGTTTTATGTCAGTACTTTAAATGATGCGACATTTTCCCAGATCAGATATGACAGCTTTTTCTATCAGTTTGGATCATTCTCTTACTTTGTTTATGCTAGTGAAGGCTTTTATTGAAACTATGCACTTGTATAAATGTGGAATTGAATTTGAAGACTGTATTTCCAACTTTAAAACCCTCTTAGCTGTTAACTTAGCTGTCTAGTTTTCCCCCTAAATGCAGTAAGAACAATATAGAAAAATATCAATTATTTGGTAAAAGCTGTCTTGTCTAGCACCCTATTTGTTGCTACTAGGAATACTGGGACCCAAAGAGATAAAATGAAATATCTAAGACCATATTTGCACAGAGAGGTGACTGGAAGGTTTTGTTTTTGTTGAAGGTGTAGAGTGGGCCTTTTCCCTCATGTGTAAATGGATATTTAAGTCCTTTGTATGAGTTCTTACTGTTGGTTCCTGGCGTTTGTTAAAGATGGAAAGTCTGGCACTGGGGTTCTGAACATAACGAAAAGAGCCTATTTGGAAGAGCCAGCAGTTCTCTTACACTTCTGTGTTGTCCAAGATTTTCCAGAGAAACAACAATAAAAAAGTGTATGTGTGTGTATGTGTGTATCCTGTTGGAGAGGGGGGATTTTTATTTTAAGGAACTGTGACATATTATTGTGAGGGCTGCCCAGGCCAAAATCCAGAGTTTGATGGCTTTGATTTGTTAGAAGCTTGGATATGTTTCTAAGGCTTGATGCTGCAATCTTGAATCTCTTTCTACAGTATTGGAAAAGTTGAACATAATGTATTTAGAGACTGGTTTCCCTTAAACTAGAGTAAAACAAAATTGATGCAATTCACAGAAATTGCATTAGTATTATTGATCAAGGTTATTAACGGAAACTGAGATTACAGTAGCAGGGTAAATAATGCTCTTCTAAAGGCAGTGTTTTTGTAGTCCAGTTTAGTGACAGTCAGTGCTTGGCCCTGGGGACACAGAGAACCAGAAGGCGTGACACTTAGCCTGGCTGTGATCCTGTGTGAGGACCGTACGGAAAGCCCTGGTAGAGAGGGATTCCTAGTTGGAGCAGGGGCAAGTCGGGGAGAGATGAGCCAAAGCTGAATAAGCAAGAGGTGTCGTGGAAGGTGCCAAGGAGCAAACCTGGCGGACTCATGGGGATCCAGGCAGAGGCGCTAACAGGGACGAAGGTGGCATGGTGGGGTGGGGTGGGGCGGGGTAGTGCTTGACATTTTTCAAGGGAAAACTGAGTGATTCTGTGCAGCAGCTTTTTTTAAAAAGGTGTTTTAGACAGCTGCAGAATGGATTTTCTAAAACAAGAGTACGTGTGTTCTTCTGGTGAAGTCAAAAGGCGCCCATTGTCAGTTTGTCACTTGAGGGCTGTTGGTTGCTTTACACCGTGTGAATGCCTGCTTTAGTATCAACTGGCTGCCGCTAAATTAAATTAATTATAACTTCCAAGTTCATTTCTTTTACGAATTTGAAATTTATCATTATGGAGTTGCAGCTTCTAATTTTATTCTGGAATAACTATAAATGATATCTACTTGCCAAAGTGTTTAAAAAATAATAGCAGCAGCATTCATTGGGTGATTTCAGTATGCCAGCCACTGTCCTAAGCATTTCATGCGAGTTCCTTCCCCCAGTTCTCATAGCAGCTTTGCAAGACTCAGAGGCACAGAACGAGACATTGTCACCCGGGTGGTTTTGGGGGAGCCCAGAAGTGACCCGAAGAATTGGGCCTCACAGCTGGCACTTCTCTCCTCTGTGATCCTTGCCCTCTTAGTTAAAATAGAGTTGCAGCATGCCTGCTTTCTGCAAAGATCAGTTAAGTCAGAAAAAACTGTTGTATAAAAAAGAAAAAAAATGTACAGAGTATTCCATAATCACTAAAGGACTCCTAAGAAACATGAATAACAGCTCAGGAAACCCTTAGAGTCCGTTCTCTCAGCCCTTCCATACAAGAGAAAGTATAGATCCCAGATGTAAGTGACACCTGCCAGGAAATAATTCCTTTGACTGTTTTTTTTTTTTTTTTCCTTTTTGTCACCTAATCTCAAAGTCAGAACATTCCCAGTCCGAGCTCACCTTGTATATACAATTTCTCTCTCCTCCAGCATCATGCTTTGCCCCGTGGCACCTGCCTAGTCTCATCACCAGGCTCGAAACCCACATCTCTCCTTTCACTTTTCCTTCCCTAGAGCAGTCCACACGCACAACACTTATGGGGCTCCTCCTGTGGGTGCTAAGCACTCAGCAAAACAGACGCTCACAGTCTCATCCCTGAGAAGCCAGACAGAGATCATTGCAGTCATGAGAGATCACTCCTGTGCTTGAGATGCGCACATGGATGCTTTGGGGGTGGCTATGCAAACTTTCAAGTGCCCCAGACTTGTTTCTAATCTCAGCAATTCGCAGGTCAGACGCTTTATCACCTGGGCTTCAGAATGGTCTCCCATTTGCCAGCCCAGCACATGGTCTTCTTCTTCCCAGGCATCCCGTCCTAGTTGCCCATTGCCATCCATCTTTGTGAAACACAGATTTTCCTCATTTCCCAGTGTTCAGAACCCCCACGTGCTAGAGCCTCCAAAGTTCAGATTCCTGAGTTTGGCACTGAAACCCTAGCCACACCGTTCCCGTATTCCTACCAGTAATTCCCAAAGTGAACTTCCAGGAGCAGCCAGGCTGGCCTCCTTCATCCCTGAAATCATCCTCCCAGCAGCCTGTATGGTTCTCTCTTCTGATCCCTTTGTCATTTCTCTCTGCTTCCAAGAGTCATGCTCAGCCTCATCTCTTCCTGGAGGCTCTTCCAGCCCCTGCTGGTCCTTCCTTCCCCACAGTCCGTAGAGCACTTGTTGCCCTCTACAGGCCTAGGAACTTGGAGCTCTGTCTCACTCCTGTGTCTGATCTTGTGGAGGAGAATGAGCGTGAGCTTTGGGCTTTTCAGACAGTACTGAGGTGAGCATGTCTACCATCGAGCAGTGTTTTGCCTTGCACAGGTGTCTTCTCTTAGCCTGCGACTCCTCATCTGCACAGCAGCTGTGAGGTGGTCAGGTGCCAAGCCTGGTGACTTGACCAGTGGACTAATAAAAATCTCCACAGTTACAAGCTAAGTAAGAGAAATCACATTGATAGAGCATAAAGAAAGCTGGAAGTGGAAGAATAAAACCTCACCGCAAAGTGCCTGGTGATCATCTCATAGACCCACTCCATGTTAACTATTCCAGCCATCCAACTGCTTCTCCAGACACAGCTCCTCTGTCCCATTGGTCTTGCTGTGGTTTGAATGTGTCTCCCCAGGTTTGTTTGTTGGAAACTGAATCCCCAAAGAACAATATTCAGAGGTAGAGCCTTGAGGAGATGCTTCGGGTTAATGCCATAACAGAAGTGTGTTGGTTATCAGAAGTGTGAGTTCTTCATGAAAGGATGATTCTGACTCCCTTCCTTCCCCTCTCTGTCTCACGTATTGTGCTTTTGTAATGCAAAATGGACCAAGGCACGTCTCTTCTCTGCCCTGGGTCATACTTTCTCCATGGCAGTGCCTTTGTTTATGGTGCTCTTCTGCCCCGAGTACCTCTCCTCCTCTCTCCAGAGCCTACTTGTGTTTTCTTAAAGGCCCAGTTTAAAGCACACAGCATTAGGGAATGTCTCCTTCCCTTTGTAGTCACGATGCCCTTGCTTTGAAGTGCTGTAAAAACACCTGCCTATTTAGTTTATGTACCAGTGTCACATGCTTGCTCTTTCTCTCTAGGTATCTACCTCCCTTCCCCCATCACAACCTTCCCTAACCAGTTATTAGCTCGCGCAGATGAGGGACCAAGTCTCCTCTTTAGTACTTCCTAATACTCAGCATGTTATTTCCTGAATGCTGCTGACAGTGGGCAGAGAGCACACACGGGTGATGGAACGCGGCCTGCATTTTTTCATCCAAGAAGTTTACTGACGCTGGATGCGCGCATGATACGAAAGGCCATAAACCAAAAATTAAATGGAACATGGTCCCTGTTGTACTTGAGGGCACTAGTGATGCCCTGTAAAGCTCGAGACACTGTGTTGTCACATGCTTATTGAGAGGATAAATGAAATACCCGTCACAGTTCATTTCATAAAGGTCAGATGCTTAATTTGCCTCCCCTGTGCCAGGCACTGTCTGTACCACGGGACCCAGAGAGCCAAGTAGGAGAGCTAGACAACATATACGCAAACGTGAGGATACTTGATAGGAGTTACGGCCAAACACACGGATGTGCTAGAGCGTGATTGCGGGGGTCGGAGGCAGCCTTAGGAGGTGATGTTTAGGCTGAGGCTGATGGATAGGAAGGTGGAGTGCTGGGCAGAGGGAACAGATGTGAGAGGCCCTGGGTTGGAGCAAGTGCAATGCTGGGGTGCTCCTGGGCATCAGAGCCTGGCCACCGAGGGCCTTGAAGGGGAATCACACCATCTGCTGAGTGTCTTCAGAGATAGCTTGCGCTGCTGAATGGCAGAGGCTCATGCAGGAGAACAGGGACCTGGGCAGCCCCGTTAGGAAGCACAGAGAGACTGTGGTGTTAGTGGGGCAGAGCTAACAAGCTGTACTGGGGGTGGGGCGGAGGTTGTCGAGAACAAACCCCAAACATCCTTCCACTCAAGGGACCTCGGCTGGGATGATAGGAAGAGCATGGATTTAGAGGTAGGCAGACCTGAGTCCAAATTTCAACTCAGCCTCTTTCGCTTTGTGAATCAGTGAACCTCCCCAACCCCACTTCCTGAAATGTGAAAGCAGGATGTGAAAGTGCACTGGAAGTTTTGCTGAGGGGTT